CCCCTACTACAAGGGATCAACATAAACACACGCCAGACGGCCGGCACCCGGTCCAGCCTGCCAGAGCTTTGGCCAAGGACACAACAGGACACGGACTTATCACCTCCTCCGCTCTGATCTTAGGAGGAATCTCACACATCACTGCCGTCCATGGCTCCAAGAATTTCTTAACACCCGGGCTAAGGTCTCTTGGCTTCCAGGGAAGATGGCCGGGAGGGGATTTGACCCTCGGCACAGAAAAACGCAAATCTGCTCAGCCTCAAAAGCCGCTTCAGACGGCTCTCTCTCTCGGGTTGCTTCAGAGGAGCAGACAGTCCAATGGCCAGAGAAGACCCAGGGGAGCCAGGGTGAGCTGCTGCTGCCTGTCCCCCAGCGAGCGGCCTTCTCTCTGGCAGTGCTGCTCTCCGAGATCTGCACCCCATTCCAGTAACTCTTCCCGCAAAGGGGGAGACTTGTGGGGCTCTTCTTCCAGGTGCTTGTTTCGTACTCTCTCTACAGTATATTACTGTATTTCTTAATTCTTTCTTACTGTATGCTGCTAGATTTGGGATAGAACTTGGGCAGCCCATATATGAATAAACTAGGCAAAAATCACCACTCCTGGTTTTACCAAATGTGTCAGAAATGAACCAGCTGGATAGGTGCCAGGAGGGACACTGGTTTAAGGTGCTATCCAGCAAAGGCTTGAGCTTCCGTTCAGCCACAGCTGCCATCTGCTCTTCCAGCAGGAGCCCTGAGTCCAGGACAACCTCCAGGGGACACACCGGGTCGGTCTGGGGGGTAGTGCCACCCCCCATCCGAGACCAAAGGTGATAAGCTCCTGGATCCAGAGGGGTCCACCCACAGCCACGCCGTCTTACGAAGGTTCAGCTGAAGTCTCTTGTTCTCCAGCCGAGCCCCCGCAGTCCCCGGGCACCGTGAACGAACATCCGCTGCATCACTCACTCGCCCCACCTGGGATGGAGATGGATAACTGGGTAAGATGAGCGTGCTGGTGGTAACTCATCCCGTGGTGACGCATGATCTCACCCGGTGGTTTCATGCAGGTGGTTCAAAAGGGGGCGAGAAAGCGCTGGTCCCTGTGGCACCCCAAAGAGAAGGAAGGGGCCATGGGCTGGACCCCTCTCTCCCTATCAGTACCAGTTGGGACTGACCTTGCAGAAATGAGGTGAACCCGCACGGAATTGTGGCACCCGCCCCCAGCTCCCCAAGTCCACGAGAAAGGACTACTGTGGCCGATGCTATGAGCAGCTGCTGAGAGATCAAGAGGAGGAGCAAGGACGGACACACAGCCTCCAACCTGCTCACACCAGAGGTCATCCGTCAACGCGACCAGCGCCATCTCCGTCCCCTATTTGGGCCCGAAACCCGACTGAAAGGGGTCCAGATGATCCGTTTCCTACAGGATTGTCTGGAGTTGCAACCCCCTTCCTTGAGAAGAGGCAGGGGCTGGGCATGCAGTTGACCTGAGGGCGCTGCACGGACCTGTCCCTTCAGCAAAGCCTCTGCACTCACGCTCCCGCCTTGGCCTGCTTGCTCTTTCGCCAGACCAGGGGTGGGGGGAGATCCGGCCTTAACTGGTGTTCAGGCTGAAAAGCAGGTTCCCTGAGAGAGCTGAGCTGGCACGTGGCCTCTCAAGGTCAAGCAGGGGAGGCAGATGGCGTGCCAAGAGCAAGGAATGCAGGCAAGGGAAAGAGTGAGTCAACAGGGAAAGTCGTCCAGGGGACTTCCCCCCCCCATTGTCCTCCAGGTACAGCCAGGCCGGGGGGGGGGGCGTCTTCCCTTCTCAGGAGCCACAGAAGGGATCTTGGGGAGGAGAGCCATCACTCCTTGTCCTCTCCTGCCAGTGGCAAACAAACAGAGCAGCTTGGCAGAGGAAGGGGCACAGCTGGGTGTCCGCCTGGCACTTGTTCATCTGGCCCCACCCTGGGATGCAAAGCTGCCTCAGCTGACCCAGGCCCTGCCCAGGACAGGCGCTTGTTGTGCAGTAAGGACACGACCTTGGCAAGACGGGGCTCCGCAAGGACTTTGGCTCCAGTCCTGGAGACGGTCGGAGTCTGGATGGGGACAAGCTGGCCGAGACCCAGAGGGTCTGATGGGAACTATCGAGTGACACCAACGCTGCCCAAGCTGCCCAGAGTGCCCGTAGTCTCCTCTCTCAAGCTCTGCGTGGCTCTGGAGACCCAGCTGCCTTGCCCTCCGGGGGGGGGGGGCGCTGCAGGCCATGCCTCCTCCTCCTCCTTCCCTGACACAGCCTGGGGCCTTCACAGCAGGAGCCCCTCCTGTAAAATGCCCCCACCCCCACAGAATAGAAGAACCACCACCCCCCTTTAGGTGCGGTTGGGGACTTGGGTGAGAATGGGAGAGAGCCTCCTGAGCAGGGAGGAGCAAGACACACACACACACACCCCGAGATTTTTACAGCTGCATTGTTGTATGTTGGTTATATTTATTACTTGGTACATTGGATGATTTTGGTCACTGCTAATCGTGTTAATTCCTGCAATTTGCTCAGGTGGCAGAAACCCATCTGAAGTCCGTCCCAGTTCAGAATAACAGACTAACAGGATTGGAAGGGACCTTGGAGGTCTTCTAGTCCAACCCCCTGCTCAGGCAGGAGACCCTATATACCCTTTCAGACAAGTGGCTGTCCAGTCTCTTCTTAAAAACCTCCAGTGACGGAGCACCCACGACTTCTGGAGGCAACTTCCACTGTCCCAAAGGTGCTTTTTCAGGAGGCAGCTGGACTTTCTTGTTTTAATTTGAAGACGTTTCCCTTCTCATCCAAGAAGCTTCTTCAGCTCTGCTTCCTGGAAGAGAAGCAAAGCGTCTTCAGAGAGAAACGAGAAAGTCCAGTTGCCTCGTGAAAAAGCGTCTTTGGGGCAAGGAGGACCCTTTGGGTGACCGAGAGTCTCCAGAGGCAACTTCTGCTCCTCCGGGTCACTGGGGAGGGGCCCCCATTGGGGAGGCATCCTCTCCCCCTTTGCCAGGCTGCCTCATCTTGACCGGCAGCAGCCCCCGGCCCGACGGCCCCCCCCCCCAGCATACAACGAGGCAATACCATGGGGGGGGGGAGGGTTGAAGGTTTATTGACGTGTCACTGTAAGCTGCCTCTGCCCGATGGGGGGCATGGTAGTTTAATAACAAAAAAAAAAGTCTCCCGGCTGTGCATGATGGTTTGCCTGCTCCCCTCCAGCAGCAGTCTCCCAGGAGCGGACGAGGCCGGACGCCCCCTGAGGAAGGGTCTCCCTCAAGGAAGCCAGGGATTCCCGGGAGGATTCAGCTCCGGCGGGGGAGTTTCATCGCCACCCCGCCCCGGGGACCCCTTCGCGCCGCCGCCGCAGCCGCCAGAGAGCCCGGCGAGGCGGGGCAGGTCGAGGAGCCTCTTCGTTGCTTCTCCCGGCGGAGTTCCGGGACTGGGGCTCCGGCTCGCCCGCCCCCCGCCCTCCGCCCTCCGCCCCCCGCCTCCCCCCGGGGCGTCTCGGCCTCCGAGGGTGACAGCGCCCCCCCCGCGCCTCCCCCTCCCCCTCCCCGGGGGCCACTCACCGGCAGGCGGCGGCGGCGGCGGAGGCAGCCCAGCAGGAGCAGCAGCGGGAGGAGCAGCGGGAGGAGGAGGAGCGGGAGCAGCGCGGCGGGCAGGCCGGCGAGGGCGGGCGTCCCGGTCCAGCCCTCGCCGCCGCCGCCGCCGCCGCACATGGCGCGCGAGGGGCGGGGCGGGGGCGTCGCCGGAGCGGCAGTGACGTCACTTCCTCGGTCGGACAGGCGGAGGGGACGCGCGGCGGTCAGCCGGACGGGCGGAGGGGCGGGCGGAGCGCGCGGTAAGCAGCCGGGCCTCCAGCAGCGCCGGTCGCCGCCGGGAGGGGAGGGGACGGGAGGGGAGGGGAGGGGCGGGTGGGGGAGAGCCGGCCCGGCCGCGGGGAGGGGGCGCCCCGGAAGGGCAGGTGGGCCGCGGGGCCCAGCTCCGGCTTCTTCCCGCCGCTCCCTCCGCCGCTTGCGGCCTCGCGGGGGGCTGGGGCTGGGGCTGGATGGGTGTCTCCGCGCGGCTCGGGCCGGGAGAGGCTCCGGCGGGGCTCCTTGGCGCCGGCCCCGCTGCCAGCCGCGCGCGCTCTCGGGGCCCGGAGGGGCCGGTGTGCGCTGTCTGTCTGGGCCGGGCCGGAAGCGCCCGGGCCCGCCTTCCGCGGGGTCGGGGCCTCTGCTGCCCCCGCCGCCCTCCACCTCAGCCCCGGCCCGGCCTCCCCGGCGTCCCCCCGAAGGCTTCCGGAAGGGTCCGGGCCCCAGGAGGCCGGGCGGGGATGGGGGTCCTTTGCTCAGGCAGCTGGCAGGCAAAGCCCCGGGCCGGTCTCCCCTCCCGGCAGGCCCGGCCGCTTGGGGCCCGTCCCCCGGGGAGGGAGGGGGGCGTTTGCCTCCCCCAAGACCGCCCCCTCCCACTGCAGAAGGGGCTCTGCTCCTCCCGCCCCCCCCAGGGGCCTCCCTTTCGCCCTCCCTGGGGATGGGCCCCGGCCCCTCGGGGGTGGGAGCAGCCGGTGACCCTCCTCCGAGCAACCACGGAGGCTGGCCGTGCCAAGCCCCAGCAGGCCCCGGTGCCCGATTGGCTGGGCTCCCTCCCCCCCTCCCTCCCCCCCTCCCTCCAGCGGCAGTCCTGGCATGCGGAGGGTGATGAGAGGCGGCTGGCAAAGCCCCCCCCCTCCCCCCCCCTCCGGCCTCTGCTGCTCCCTGAGCCGAGCTGTTTCCTGCATGCAGAGCAGACCATCTCCCCGGGAGGCCTGCTGGGGTCACCAAGGCAGCCAGGAAGCCAAACCAAGGTTAGTAGGCGGGGCAAAGGCATCTGGCCGGCTGTGAGGGCCGGCGGTTGCTGGACGGGTCCTTCCAGGCGCTCTCTGGTGGGGGGAGCCTCCGCTGGGCCCGCCCTCAAGCCGGCCCATAAAGGCGGGAGGGGGTGCAGGTAGCGCAGAGCGGCTTCTCTCCCCTTTGGCAGAGTCCGGACAGCAGAGACGCCCCCCATGGCGATCCTCTTGGCCGCCACCCGCATCGCTCAGCCTCTTGCCCGGCTGGCCCTGAAGGCTCCGCACTGCAAGGATGTCGCTGCCACCGGCCTGCGGTAAGTACGGAGGGCCGGGCGCTGGGCTGGAGGTCCACTCCTGTCTTCTTCAAAGAAAGTCCGTGGCTGACCACCAACCGTTTAGTGACCGTGTCAAGTGTCGACAGCAGTGGGGAAAAAAGTGACTTGTGACTTACAGCTGGTGCTCGGTCCTCGTGATCGCCTGATCCGAGTCCAGGTGCCAGCCTGTATTCAGGATGGTTGCGGCATCCCGGGGCCGAGCGATCGCCCTCTGTGACCGTCCCAGGTGGCATCCAACGAGCAGACCCAACGGGGGGGGGGACCCGGGTTTGCATAATGCCCGCGTGATTTACTTAGTAACTGCAGCATCTGCTTAACACCCATGGCAAGAATGTCGTAAAACCGGACACGACTCATTTAACAAATATCTTGCTTAGCAACCGAAATTCTGGCCCTAATTGTGGTTGTATAATGAAGACCACCTCTTACACTTGAGGGCCCTGAATGCTCCCCCACCCTGGTTTCATGAAGAACTTTCCTTAGGAGGAAGCCACCTGGGTGGGGGTGGGCGGGGGTCCAAGCCAGCAGAATCGGCCCCTTTATGAACCTCTTAAGCGCTGCTTAGCCTCCAACAGGGCTGCAGACCAGAGTCTGAATGGATCTCCTTGTTCCAAAGTCCCTCCAGATAACGCCAAAGGGGGCTGTGCTCACCTGAGCCCCCCATCCCTGGGTCAGCTGTTAGGATTCTGGGTGGGGGGTGTGACTGAATTCTCCAAACAGGAAGGCCATGGGTACAAAGGTGAAACCCTCCCTCTCCTGGGGTGGTGGGTTGGAGTGTTTGTGCGGACGTGTGTGTAAAGAGGAAGGGTCCTGTCCAGAATAGGTGGGGCAGGGGCGGAACCTTCTTGCTGCTTCTCAAGAGCCCCCCCAACCTTCGGAGCCCTGGGCAGCTGTCCTCTCAATTTGGCTGTTTGTGAGCAGTTGAGGGTTCCACCCACAAGTCAACACAGCTCTTGCGGCTGCGCAGCTGGGGGTGAGCATGGCCATCAGCCGAGGGGCTTTGGCCGAGACGCCCTCGCATGCTTCTCGGAGCCAAGCAGCACTTGGGAGTGCCAGTGAATCATGGGGTCAGCAGGCCAGAGGTGTTCCAGTCGCTTGCAGGGAAGAGTTCTGCAGACGGGCCGCGGCCCCTCCTGAGGGTCTGGCTGCTGGTTAGAGGTCAGGAGGCATGCCCGGGCATCCTCTGGGGTGGGGGCTGGGCTGCCACTTTTGAACTCGGGGGTCCCCATGCTGGCTTAGCAAACTCTCTGGAAGAGTCGGGTCAAGAGGGGCCCAGAGAGCCGATCCATTTCGGCTGAAGCAAACGGACCCAGCCTGTCTCTTCTGCACCGGGCTGTGGTTCCCCAAAGGACTCCCCACGTGGCAGCCGTGTCCTCTCTCTCTCTCGCAGCCTGCTTCCCGAGGTTCAGGCCACGGCCCCCGGCTGGAGGAGCCAGCGCTGCTACGCCACTGAGGTGGAAGAGGTGAGAGGGGAGGATTCACCAGCCGGGCGGAGGAGAGGACAGCCCCACTTGGGAGGCCACGTGCCCATGGCGGGGCCCCTTCATTTCTGCGGGGTCCCTGCGTTAGGCCCCCTGCCCAGGGCCAGGGCTGCCTCGTCCCTCTCTTGTCTGCTGCTCCTCCTCCTCGAGGGCCGCGTTGAGGCCTGGAGATCTCCCCAGCTGCGCAGGGCGACTCTCAGTTCGCAAAGCACCTGAGGCCGGTGTCCGTGCGGCTGATGTGGGGAGAAGGGCCCGGGGAGCCCAGCCGAGGCGGAGGGCGGGCGGGGGAACGTCTTTGGCCCTGTTGAACCTCATGAGGGACAGGTGGGGGGCTCCGTGGCGGGGGCCCCCATGTCCCTTTGGGATTCCTCTTCGGGGCCGTCAGCACTGGCTCTTGTGCATCCCCTTCAGATCGGCCAGCGCCCCGTCCTTATCACGGGCTGCGACTCGGGCTTCGGCTTCTCCTTGGCCAAATTCCTCCACGGGAAAGGCTTCATCATCTACGCTGGGTGCCTGCTGAAGGTAAGGCCAGAGGGGGCCACGGAGGGGCCGAGTTGAGTGGCTGCAGACACCGTTTAATATCTTGGTTCTCTCCCTTCTCCCCCCCCCCCCAAGGATTTGGGACACTCCAGATCAGGGGTGTCAAACTGCCAGCCTGCGGGCCGGTTGCTCCCACCCCAGCTCTGGCAATGCAAAAGAGTTGCCATATGTCACCACTCCTGAGGCGGGGGGTGGGGGGGCTTTAGGAGGAGAGCCTGCCCTGGTTGGCAAAGGGCTTTGCTCCCGGATCCTGGGCCCCGAGCGCCCCCTGCTGGCCATGGCCAGGAAGTGCAATTCCCCTTGCAATTTCTCTTCGCAAATGGTTGCAAATGGTTGAGAATATTCGCAGCTGGGGTTGTAGGTTTTCGCAGGGGTCTGTTCTCCGAGCTTGCTGTTTGTCTCTAACTACTCAGCTCTGGATTCACCTGACGGGTCTTGGGAGAACCCCCATGGCTGCGGTGCTGTGTGAGACTTCAGAGTGGCAAATTCTCCAAACCCCGATTCGCTCTGGCGAGACACGCATCTCCCAGTCGTGGGAAACCATGACTCTGAGCCCTTTGCCCAAAGTGGGTGGGGAAATTGCCGGGATCAGCAGGGCGACCCCTTGTGGGGAGCTGCTGCGTCTGTTGAACGGGGCGTTGCAAGCTGGCACGAGACGGACCCTTCGTGACTGCGTGACGTCTCCTGTTGTGGGGCAGCAGAGGCTCACCCTCCTTCTGCCGCTTTTCATCAGGAGCAAGGCCGGGGGGGCGCGAAGGACCTGGACAACATGAAGAGTGACCGAATGAGGACCGTCCAGCTCAACGTCTGTGACAGTGAGGAGGTGGGGCGTGCCGTGGACTACATCACCAGCAACCTGAAGGATCCGGAGACCGGAGGTGAAAGGGAAAGGCCAGGGAGCTGGAGCAGGAGTGGCACAAGGGAGGGAGGAGCCGTTTCCCTGCCCTCTCAGCCGGGCCCAGTCCCCACGGAAGGCCAGCGGTTGCCCCACGTCATCCCAGCTGGCGCACAGCTGCCCCTGCGCTTGCTTCCTCCGTTCCAGCACACGCCTGGTGCAGGCAGGGAGGGTGTCTAGATCAGTGATTAGGGAGTTACCAAATGTTATATTGTGGCTTCTTGATCCCAGGATGATTTTCTAGTATGGAAAAGACAGCAAAGTCCCCACAGAAGGCAGCAAATAAACCAGGAAGCTGCAGGACGCAGGAGCTTTGATGGTGCTTTTGATGCACCGGGAGCTTCTCGTCTCCTGTTTCGTAGTCCCAGATGTTAGTTTTCCTGCATCTGGTCAAAGGCTTTGGTTACGGTTCAGAAGGCCGCTTAGGGAGGGGTCTCCCTGCTCGTGAGTAGCTTCGGGAGGTCTGGGCTGGCTTTTGCTCCTTTTCCCCATCGGTCATCCTTTGACCTCTCCCCCCCCACCCCATCTTTGCACAGGATTGTCTTAGTGCAGCCGGACACACTCAGGGCCAGAGCGAGAAACGTGGCCGGTGCAGCTGCTGCTCCTGACTCACAACCCTTGTGTGGAAAAGAAGCAGCAAGCCTTGTGGCAGAGGGTTGGAAATAGGCTTTTCTCTGAACTAAGGGGTGCACCAAGTGGAAAATAGGGGTGGCCTTGAACCCAGACAGGTCCTCATGATCCAAATGTTTTGGATCGGGAGCCCAGAATGTTTTCCTGTTATGGCAGCTTTGGCCAACACCCCCTGCGATCTGGACTCCCTCCCCCTCCCCTCGCTCTCCTGGGGGAGCAGTGGAGGATTCTCAGAGGGTCCTTGGGATTACTAGAGGAGGCAATCTCTGTAGCTCCGGATGTCCCTGGGGCGTCCCTCGCTGGGTGGTGTCAGCGAGTGTGGGGTGCGCTCCCTGTTCTCATGCAGCAGCTTGCCCTCACAGGGCTGGTGGGGGTGTGGCCAGAAAACAGTATCCTCATCGGGGACCCAGGCAGGACGAGACACCCCCCCCTCCCCCCCAACACTGATGATCAGGGAAGTGTATTCCAGAGGGCAGGATTGCTTCCGGCCCCTGCCTCCCTCGCCTCCGAGGCCAGAACAACCCCGGGGGCCCCCCCCCCCCCGAGCCAGCCTTACGGAGGAGGAGTCTGTCCTGGGAGTTTCCTTGCAGTAGCAGAGACCTTTTGGGAGC